GTCATTTTACATTCACTGTTGAACTGAAGGCCTCATCAGACCTTTACCGTCCCGCATGATCCTCCGATACTATTATCCACGTTCTGCGTACGGGCTCATCCCCATTGTGTGCCACCTTTTGTGGTGGTCATCCTCTTGATCGCGTTTCCACCTTGGGTTTGCCGTTCTATCAAAAGTCTCTTTCACCAGCTACCGTCGCTTCCAGCAGTGTCTCCTGCCCAATCAGCTTGCTTTCCTCGCAGTAGTCATAATGTAATAGCTCGAATTGGCATTTATGTTCTGATCCATTGTTCCTCTTTCATCCTCTTAGTTTCATTTCCAACATTAATCTCCTCTACGTGCTTTTGTTTGTATTCGTAAAGCTTTGTTTTTTTATTTTCTTCATGACACTGATTGAATACTTTCTACTTTAGGCACATTGGTTTTGTTTTCAGAATAAATGTCTCAAATGCGCTCCACTCAAATGCACCCCGCATTTGAAAGAAGTTCTACATAAAGTGAGGGAAAAAAGTATTTGATCCCCTGCTGATTTTGTACGTCTGCCCACTGACAAATAAATGATCAGTCTATAATTTTAATGGTAGGTTTATTTGAACAGTGAGAGACGGAATAACAACAATAAAATCCAGAAAAACGCATGTCAAAAATGTTATAAATTGATTTGCATTTTAATGAGGGAAATAAGTATTTGACCCCTCTGCAAAACATGACTTAGTACTTGGTGGCAAAACCCTTGTTGGCAATCACAGAGATCAGATGTTTATTGTAGTTGGCCACCAGGTTTGCACACATCTCAGGAGGGATTTTGTCCCACTCTTTGCAGATCTTCTCCAAGTCATTAAGGTTTCGAGGCTGACGTTTGGCAACTCGAACCTTAAGCTCCCTTCACATATTTTCTACGGGATTAAGGTCTGGAGACTGGCTAGGCCACTCCAGGACCTTAATGTGCTTCTTCTTGAGCCACTCCTTTGTTGCCTTGGCCGTGTGTTTTGGGTCATTGTCATGCTGGAATACCCATCCACGACTCATTTTCAATGCCCTGGCTGAGGGAAGGAGGTTCTCACCCAAGATTTAACGGTACATGGCCCCGTCCATCGTCCCTTTGATGCGGTGAAGTTGTCCTTGTCCCCTTAGCAGAAAAACACCCCCAAAGCATAATGTTTCCACCTCCATGTTTGACGGTGGGGATGGTGTTCTTGGAGTCATAGGCAGCATTCCTCCTCCTCCAAACATGGCGAGTTGAGTTGATGCCAAAGAGCTCCATTTTGGTCTCATCTGACCACAACACTTTCACCCAGTTGTCCTCTGAATCATTCAGATGTTCATTGGCAAACTTCAGACGGGCATGTATATGTGCTTTCTTGAGCAGGGGGACCTTGCGGGCGCTGCAGGATTTCAGTCCTTCATGGCGTAGTGTGTTACCAACTGTTTTCTTGGTGACTATGGTCTCAGCTGTCTTGAGATTATTGACAAGATCCTCCCGTGTAGTTCTGGGCTGATTACTCACCGTTATCATGATCATTGCAACTCCACGAGGTGAGATCTTGCATGGAGCCCCAGGCCGAGGGAGATTGCCAGTTCTTTTGTGTTTCTTCCAATTGCGAATAATCGCACCAACTGTTGTCACCTTCTCACCAAGCTGCTTGGCGATGGTCTTGTAGCCCATTCCAGCCTTGAGTAGGTATACAATCTTGTCCCTGACATCCTTGGAGAGCTCTTTGGTCTTGGCCATTGTGGAGAGTTTGGAATCTGATTGATTGCTTCTGTGAACAGGTGTTTTTTATACAGGTAACAAGCTGAGATTAGGAGCACTCCCTTTAAGAGTGTGCTCCTAATCTTAGCTCGTTACCTGTATAAAAGACACCTGGGAGCCAGAAATCTTTCTGATTGAGAGGGGGTCAAATACTTATTTCCCTCATTAAAATGCAAATCAATTTATAACATTTTTGACATGCGTTTTTCTGGATTTTGTTGTTGTTATTCTGTCTCTCACTGTTCAAATAAACCTACCATTAAAATTATAGACTGATCATTTCTTTGTCAGTGGGCAAACGTACAAAATCAGCAGGGGATCAAATACTTTTTTCCCTCACTGTACGAACGTAATGCACTTGCTCGCATCTTCATTTCATCATTTCGATCCCAGTCTAACTTCAGCAGTTGCCTTAGCTATAAAAAGTCTGCTGTGTTTTCTAGTTGTCCCTCCAGCTGTTATTTCCTTTTATATTACATTATCTCACTTTTATTTAAAGCCCGCTTTGCAGTCTTCTTTGTTAAGTTCCTCATTAGTATCCTGGAGTTCGTTACCATTGCTTATTATAATGACTGCCATTATTTCTCCAATTTTGTTTTTGGAAAAATATATTTGAGTGCCATTGAATAACCTTGGTGAGAGCATTTCTCCTTTCTTGACTTCTTTGTGGATTAGCATTTTGTTTCCCTCTGTATGCATTGTCAAAGTCTTAAAAAAAAGCAAAACCATTTGCATAAACGGAACAGTTGCATGGTTACTGTATTGCATAGAGAAATAGTTTTCTATATTTAAGCATTATAACTATATGCTGATGGATAAAAATATATATAATAAAGAAGATGGCCATGATTTAGAATGTAATTTCACACATGAGTAAAGTGTAAAATTAACAAAATTTAGCATTTTATTTTCCTACGTTATATTTTGTGTTAATGCAAGTTGCACACATACTTTTAATTGGCGAATTCAATTCGTAATTGTACATTCACCCAGCATGGTTTCCCAAATGAACATTTTTTTTGCTGTAAAATTCCAATCACCTTGCGAGGTATCGTATTTAAGTTTTTAAATTAATGTTAAATGCTGCTGGGTTTCAATCCGCAGACTCCTGACACATGTGTAATTTCTACACATTTTGCTTCGACATCGAAATTTAGTAAATCTGGCCATATTTCAGTCCCCTTCCTTTTGCTTAAAGTAAGGCCAAGAACCAGAAATGAAAGCAGAAGAATATGTAATGTCCTTCTTTTGAAGTATGTCAAATACTTTTTTTCGTGTTAAAGCCAACTTGCCTCTTGGGACATTTCTATGCTTGGAATAGCTGAGTGTGTTTAGATATTAACATATTTAGTAACATTTTTCGATTTAAAGCTTTCGTGACTGCAGGGATTCATCTTCTTGGTTCTTTCGGTAAAGTCACGTACAAGGGAAATAATAAAATAAAAATGAAACATAATAAAATAAAATTTTCACGACGTTTCGGCCACATCACAAGCAGCCGTCAGAAAATTAGCATGTATCTGCATGTAACTGCTAATTTTCTGACTTTAACATCCTGATAATTCTCTCACATTAACACAGCTTATTCAATGCTAAATTCTTCTGTTGATATGTAAACTCCTTTGTCAAGGCGCTCTTCTCCTCCCACCCAGCTTAAAATACGCTACCAAGCTTAGCAGTGTTCATTGGAGCGCTGTCTTTTAGACAGCTCTGTCTTCACCTGAGGACGGCTGCTTGTAATGTGGCCGAAACGTCGTGAGAATTTTATTTTATTACGTTTTATTATTTAATTATTATTTGATTATTTCCCTTCTACGTGACTTTCCTGAAAGAACCAAGAAGATATTTAGTAACACTTTAATTAAGCGTCTTCATAGAGGATTGGTCCAGTGAGCTGTGCACATCTTTTTTTGTTCCTTTTATACTGAAGTTCCTGTACAATTCCAGTGGGATACATGCACACAGTGGGAACCTTTTCTTTGTGAAAAAAAAAATACTTGACTGTAGATTGAGAGCCCACGATAGCTCGCCGTTTCCAAGAGCAACTTGGGATTGCTTGTGTTCTATGAGGGTGGTACGTCAGGCGTAGCATCACTTCCTCACGGACGATGCGTTTGTCGCTCGTTTTCCACAAAGCTCGCTTCCGTTATGATGATGTTGAAAAACATTTTTGGGGGATTATTTACAGGCTTTTACATTTCTAAAGGAAATAATTTGCCGCATTAGTAAAAGCCTTTACTGGAAAGGAGTTAGTCGTGTTGGTTGCTTGGAAAAGATACATCCTGCCTTGATGTCATGCAGTACTGATTATTTTACTAAAAAATATTTCCAGGGTCACTTGCAAGCGTTTTATTTTACAAGACTAGATTACAATTCCTGGAATTGGTAATGTTACAGGTGTGCCCTGAATTCAAGGCCCGTGTTCTTTACGATACAAAGCGCACAGACTACGTAATGGAACATGTGAAATTACCATGACTCATCGTTAAGGTTTTCAGGCAGTGGAGTTTGTAGTTGAATAAGTTAAATAAATGCATATTGAGTGTGGTCCACATACAGGGGACATTTTGGGGGCTGGTTGTATGCAGTTGATGCCTAGTGAAGGAGGCTTCACTGGCATTGCCTAATTTTGTACCAATTGCCCACAATAACGTAGGATATATTTTTTTCTAAATACCGCTACGTAGGTTTTTGCGGTTGTGTTCTACGGCTCTTCGGTGCGATTTGGGTTGTACCGCTTGCTGTTCAGCATTATGCCTGATGCTTTACTGCATGTCCCGAGAGCTTTATTGTGGAACATGTCAGCAGTAATATTTTAAAATAAACGTTTGCTTTATGTATGTTTAACTTCTTTCGCACCGCACGTAGCCAACCGTGCTAATCGGAGGTGCGCACATTAAATTACTTTATTGAAGATAAGATTCTCGTGAGCTGCACCAATGCACGTTTATACACAACAAGGTCACGTACATCGTCCGGCGAGGACAATTCTGTTCCTGAAGAAGCTCCCAGCAAGTGGAGCAAAACAACACGATCATAAAATGCTTCGAAGAGAGCAACAGCTGATGACGTATTTCATTGTGATGCAACTGTTGTTTGTAAATGAAGCCTTTTTTTATCGCAGCCAGCGTGTTTATATTCAAAAACACACCCGTCGCTGGTCAGCGCGCTGCGCCGGCAGCACCGCGTAGCGCCGAGCGCATTAATGAGCGCATAACCCACCGGTTTGGTTTATGCGCTTTGGCAGATCCAGCTCAGACCCAGAGGCGCCCGAGGCGGGCGGCGGTTCGTGCGCGGGAGGCAGGGGGCCCGGGGGGTGCGAGCCGGTGTCGGGTGGCTCCACGTGCAGCTCCCCGACGGCAGCCGTGAGCCCACGCTCGCTGCGCGAGACGCACTACTGCGCCGTGTGCAGCGACCTGGCGTCCGGATACCACTATGGCGTGTGGTCGTGCGAGGGCTGCAAGGCGTTCTTCAAGCGCAGCATACAAGGTGGACGCTTTGCTCGGCGTGGGAGAACGGGGGCCCCGGGCCTATCCCGAGCGACGCGCGCTGTCGTGTGTCTTCACGTGTGCGTTTCCGCGTTGTGTACTGTGGTGGTAATAAAGTTTGTGAAACGAGTCGAAAGTGGTCCCCTGCTCAAATGAGGAGTTGAGATGAGCGGTGCTCATGTCACGTTTGCAGCCCTGAACCAATGGTGGATATTCCACGTCCCTAGCGTGGGCAAAGTGTATCCCTAGCACCACTGCTGTTGACTTCTACAAAGCGACACTCGTTTATTTCGACCCCCAGAGAGGGATGATTCGCTGAGTCAACTGCAACCAGGATTTTCCAATCCACTCATTCGCTGCTGAGCCACCTGATAATTTGGTGGTTCTGCATTTGGTCTTTCACAACGCGATCATGGGATATATGTTTCGCAGATGGGTATAATCTGCAAGTCGGGGGAAATGTTACATGTTTTTTTCCCCTTTTTAAGTAATTTTGGGGTAATTTGACTAATTTAGCAATTGTGGACCGCAATGCCGACACACATGGCCCACTATATATTTTTAAGACTTAGCCATATGCGGGTCACTCCTAATGCTGTGTCACTCGTGGGAGTTATTTGACATTACTTTGCCAAACTCATTGCTGAAAGGCGGGGGGGGGGGGGGGGGGGGAGCCCAGGTACGGCTACGTGCGGCACGAAAGAAGTTCAAAATACATCATACATACATACAACATACATAAATACCACTCTTGTCCCCACGTGCAATATTTTTGTTCTATATTGTCTTTTTTTTAATGGCATACTTTGGATTTTTCTCCCATTGTTCCTTTTCCTAATTTTGGTATAACCGTGCTCAATTCAATCAACGCATACACACTTATACATGACGTCTTCAGTAGCGGAGTTTCTTGCTGGCCTCTTTGGGGCATTTTAGGCCTTGCTGAACAGCTGTGATGAATCAAACGTAGAAACCACGTGATCAAAGATGGCAGTGCCCCTGCAGTATACTAAACGATAATAGTAGTGAGCTTTTATCTGCTTTTGTCTTTTGAGGTATTACGACAAGTGAATTTTAACTAAGAATGACACTGCAATATGACAACTCCAAGAATCATGACGGTATTTACAATATTTCACGCGAGTATGAATGTCATACCAATTTTACGAGGTAATATTTACTAAAATCGAATGAACATGTTTAATCATTTTTAAAAGTCCCTTTACTTAATTCAACACTCTTGTAATTTTTATTTTTATTTGGTTGTCTGTTTCCCCCAAATTAATCCGAATCGTGCTATTTGGCATCACGTAAATAATAAACAATTCATTTGTAACCCTCAGAGGGCACTGTTTGGAGAACAGTCCACAGAAGGAGTTATCTCAGAACTACTACTTAAAACCCCTTCAAGTGAGCTCTTATCCACACTCGGGGCAGCACTTTCATAGTCAGCCATTGGAAGTGCAAACCCTAGATTTTAATATGATTGTTTTTTGTGGAGTCATTGGTGATTGAGGTGAGACTTGTGAACGAACTACACTTGAGAACCCGCTTTAATCATGGGCGGCCATCTGAAAACCACCCTCATAAATTAATTTATTTCCCCCACTCCTGGCTGCCTCCTTTGCCCCGTGTGTGCGGTGCATGTGACAGGCAAGACAAACTACATCTGCCCAGCTACAAACCAGTGCACCATTGACAAGAACCGGCGGAAGAGCTGCCAGGCGTGTCGGCTCCGCAAGTGCCACGAGGTCGGGATGGTTCGAGATGGTACGCCAGCATTCGCAGGCTTCACCACCCCTTATCCACTTCTCCTGCCAGGATCACATTCACCACCACCACCTCTTAACTCGCCCCACTCACGGTGTAAAAAAATAAAAATGCAGGGATGCGGTTTTGCGTTATGTATTTTGTGCGTATCGTGTAACGGAAATTTCCCTGTGCTCTTTTATTATCGACAGCTTGCCTCTAACGTCATGATGCGCTCGCGAGTCGCATATATTCGAAAGGCAAAAGATTTTCAACGAAAACAAAAGTACAATTATGTAGTAAGCAAGGATATACGTCCAGGCTACTTGATATCCGTGCCAACGATGGAAGCTCAACATGGGCAGATGACCAAAGACCCTGACATCGGAAAAAAGATTGGGAACCAATTATGCGTTATGTATTGTTTGTTCTATCTTTGAAGTTTAAGGTAATTTGACAAAACCAGACCACGGCTTGCCACCTCTGCAACTCGCGCCCACAGGAAGAACACAGCGGAACATTTGTTTCAGTGGATGTGAAACAAGGTTATTCCATTGTCATTGTGGCCTCAATGAATGTTACATATTTCCGGATATGTTGTACACGCACAAAGCTTTTGTAGGTGCCTTTCATCATGTTTAGGAAATTTTACCGGCGACACACAGGTCTGTTCAGGCTTTTAAAAATATTTATTAATTTCCCAAAATAAAATCCATTGTGAATAAAACAGTAAATGCGCAAGATAATTTTTAAAATGTCATAGCTCGCGTATCTGCACGGTGGAAAACGAATTATTTGTGTTCTCTTTGTGAAAACATCTTACTACCAACACGTTACATGTTTCTTTATACCAAAGGACTTGACAAGCCTCGAGGCTTGCAAGGAAGTGTCACAAACCAGACACCACGTAACCGCGGCACAGTTGTCGGCAGTTATAGGCAGACTTGGACAGCATCTGGCTGCCGTGCAGGAATTTGGAACGGATCTGTTTCACGTGTAAATCAATGGACATGGATGGAACGTAGTACAGGACTTATTTAGATATTGCCAAAGAGGGATACACTGTGGAGAGCGCATTGGTCATTGTCAGGATAAATGTCTCTAACTAGCCTTTTGCCCATCTAAGGACGGGTGTATTGCAGTAAATCTGAAACTTGCAAGCGAAAAGCAGACCGCGACGTGATATTCATTGCATCAATGCGTGTGCAATTTGTAAGAGCACGGTGACACAGACCTATTTCATTTTAAAGTTATAATCCCTTGTTCATCATGACGTTCTTTTTACTTCGATGTCTCAACAGCGTTACGGAGATCGCGTGATGTGAAGGGTTTGCCTTTGTAGTGAGGGCTGTGAGTGGACGCCGAGGAGGGGGGAGGAGGCGCCTTGTCCCCCCATGTGGAGTAACGTCAGCCGCTTATTATTATGAATGGGGGGGGGGGGGGGTGTCCATTTGGAGGATGTGACCTTATAATGATTATTAATGAGGGGGGCTGTTCAATGTGGAGTGACGTCACCTGCTCATGATTATTATTGAGGGGGGGGTCCATGTGAAGAACGTAACCTGTTCATGATTATTAATGAGGAGGGCTGGTCGACGTGGAGTGACATCACGAGTGTTACATTCAGACAATATAGTCGGTAATAGTAGGGGGGGGGGGTGTCCATTTGGAGGACGTCACCCACTCATGAATATTAATGAGGGGGGCTGGTCGATATGGAGTGATGTCACGAGCGTTAAGAACAGACATTCCTGGGTGATTATAGTAGGTAATTATTGACATGGCATTGTGTGGAAAAAAAATTGTAAAAACTTTGTAAAAATTACGACAAGATTGTAGAGTGAACAGCTTGCGAGCATGGATAACAAGAAAATGCAGCATGATTGTACATTCTCGTGTTTTTAGGATGCAAGTAATTACGTTCATCATCATCAGCCATGGTTTATCCACTGCTAAATGAGGACATCCCCAAGCAGTCGTCAACAATCGCGGTCATGCAGTGCCACAATCCATGTAGCGTCTGCCCACGGGCCAATGGCATCGCTCCATTTCTCCGTTGGTCATCCTCTTGGGCATGCTCCTGCCCTTTTTGGCTGCCACTATGTTAATCTCAACCATCGGTCATCACCACTTCTGATGATGTGTCTTGCCCAATCCCACTTATTTTTCTCAACAGTCAACAAAACGGGTGTTTAGATGTTCAAACGCCTTATGCAAGACGACATCAAGTCTGCACTAAACACACATACTTTTGGTGAACATGCAAATAAAACATGCTCTGGTAATTTTTGCATTGTCTTTGAAACTGATTGGCCTACATCAGAAGACAGCCTTATTCATGGCCTAGTCTCACTAGTGTCAGACCAGGTAACAATGTCGAAAGGCAAACAGTACAAAGACAATGCACGTATTAGAGCATTTATAACTCGCGGTGATCAGCTATATCATTGGATTTTTTTTTATTCTGGCAAAAAAAAAGAGTCATAATCTCCCTAACTTGTCTTTGTCCTCTGATCTGTGTTTTCCATTTCCTATCTCTCAATATAATTCTGAGAATGCATCTCCATGTTTCTTATGTTTATGTTTTTGTTCAATTTTCTTTGTCCACGTCCATGATTCTGATCCATATGTCATTGCAGATAATTTATACTGATATATAACAAATTATATTCACTGGTTATAGCAATGTGTGCAGCGCACAAAGGCATGTGCGCCAAGTTCGATAAACTATTGAAGGTCAGAGGCACACAAGTGGAAAACACGTCAGCGTATATACAGTAAAACCTTGGATTGCGAGCATAATTCGTTCCGTAAACGTGTTTGTAATCCAAAGCACTCGTATATCAAAGCACTCGTATATCAGTTGTGATCACATGACGCTCGGCAGACAAAGCGTATACACGTACTACTCGTATTGCAAGACCTCGCTTGTTTATCAAATTAATATTTATTTTAAAAATTTGCTCGTCTTGCAAAACACTCGCAGACCAAGTTACTCACAATCCAAGGTTTTACTGTAAATACCTGGGGCAGTTATTTAGGATGGATACAAATTCTGAAATAAAGAGGAGGGATATTCGCAGGTTGGACTTATTTTGGAAAACTGCACCGATTTTACTTCGTAAGAAAGTTAAAAAAATAATAATTTGTATATATTACCGACTAATTTAATATAATACTATATATGTGTGTGTGTCTTGTATATGTACGTTTGTCATTGCTTCTGAGTACAGACAATGTCCTTATATTTTCAAGCTGATGAGAACTCATTGGGGTTTAAGGTCTCTTTCAAAGTGGACCTGGGGTAGAAAAGTAAATTGCAGGTATATGATAATTGCACAAAGTATTTGATAAAAATGTATACATTTAAGCAACAAAGATTACACCAAACGAGGATCACAAGAAAATCAACAGTACGGAAAATACATTTGAAAAAAAAACTACAAAAAGCAAATAAACAACATTACGTGAAAAAAATCCAGCTAACCAAGTTAGGGGATATAATTAGAATGAGATTTAAAAATGAAATGCACCAAAACGTCAGAAAAAAAATCCAAGCTTGATTTTATTTTTTATTTTAAAGCTTCAATATTTTGCAGATGCAAATACCTGTCCAGATTTAAAATGAAATTTACTTGCTTTCAAAGGAATAATATCACTTCATGCCACATTTGCCTTGCCAGAGTTGATCTTTATTAATCAGCACTGCGAGCTCATTACAATGCAGGCCTCGCCAGACTCGATCGGCACGTGCCTCGCACCCTCACGGGGACAGCGTCGATCCTCAGGCATTTCGGAGGAATGAGATTTGATTCGTTCTGCGAGGTACACACGGCAATCCCCCCCCCCACCACATCATCCTTCTGCTTCTCCTCCTCCACACTGATATTGCATTGCCACGAGTCAGTCTCGCGCAACTTCAGTGATCGTAGTCCAGTTTTGCGTGACACTGTCAACAGGGTAGTGACCAAAATGGGACCTTTTTTTGCCAGTATCAAAGTTTGAAAAAATAAGAATAGGTTTTACCCTTTCTGGCAATAAAACAGGAGGTGTTAAGATGTTCAAACACCAAATATAAACCTTTTGCAAGGAATCAAGTTTGTATTAACCACAAGTACTTTTTGGTGAACATGCAAATAAACATGCTCTGATAATATATGCATTATATTTTTAAACTGATTGGCCTAAACCATAGACAGCCTTCTTTATGCCTAGTCTCACCAGTGTCAGATCAGAGAAGGCCCTAAGGAAGCCTGTCTCTGGTGTAGGCCAAACAATGCACATATTATGAGAGCATGTTTGTTTGCATGTTCACCACAAGTACGTGTGGTTAATGCAAACTTGATTCCTTGCAAAAGATTTCTATTTAGTGTTTGAATATCTTAACACCTGTTTTATTGCCAGAAAGGGCAGAACCTATTCTTATTTTTTCATAAGGTAATGACCGTTCATCCCGAAGCGACAGTCGTCGATTTCTAGAAGGGGAGGGGGCTTCGTTAGATTCCAGTAGAACTCCTCTTGACGACGGTGATTGGTTCCACGAAACCGGTCGTAAAGTGATTTTGTCGTTAAGTGAGTTTAGGAAATACACGTTAAAGGCTTAATTCGTTCCTGTAAGATCGAAAGTTACCCTTTTCACCCAAAAAAAATTACGTCATATATTTAAACAATGGGTATTCATACATGAAGATACTAACAACGTTATAAACACATAATATTAAAATTAACATTGTTAATCAATGCGTTAATTAATATTTACTGTACCTACAAAAACCCCTTGTTAACAGTGGAATGATCGGAAAATGAACACATTGGGCTCTTCTTGGTTTTTTCGGTAAAGTCACGTAGAATGGAAATAATAAAATAATAAAATATGGAGGGGTTCTATTGTATTTGTAAAGCATATCGATTAGTTTGTAATCACATTAATCAGTACAATAAAATGTTTGTTGCAAGGTATATGTCTCACGCCTAGAGAAGTGGTGGTATATATATATTTTACGTGTTGAGGGGGCAAGAACAGGGTTAGACATTGTTAATGAGATTATGGAAGAGGTATTACACTCAGGACAGTCACATGTGCTTATTATAGCATTGGCTGTGATGTATTTATTGCTACTTATCCTGAGAAATCCCAGGTATAAGCCTTTGTGAAAGTAATGCTAAATTGCCATATGGACATCGTTTTTAAGCTTCCTGTTTCAATGGTGCCAACTGTAATTTAAAAGCATAGATATCATAAATTAGCTCAAATGCCTGGGTCAGCACAAGTTATGATTATGTAAAAATAAGTTTGGAGTCCTGTAACAGTCTCGAGCACTTAACTGTGGGAATTTCATACCGACGTTTTCAATGTTACATTCAAAGCCTGCTGTTTGAATTCCACGGCGCTTTAAAAGGCTTCCTGTTTTAGCCGAAGCATCGTGGATATTGAGGCCAGCAAAATACGTTCACAACAGTTTGAAGCAGATCAAAACGCTGCAAGAGGTGTTGAACGTCTGCACGGGCAGCACGGTAAATTGTGGGCGCTCACCAATTCCTGGATGCTTCGCCAGCATGGATCAGTTGGTCTAAAATGCCCTCTTGAGGGGGCTCCCTTATAGCAGAGGCCCATCGGTCAACAGTGGCTTCAGTGAACAATTGGGAGGCCATCCCTTTAACCTTAACCTTTTACACATCGTCTGTAATATATTCACTTCACTCAACAAAACCAGTCGAATTTCGATGTAAAGCTTTCGTGACTGCAGTGATTCATCTGCTTGGTTCTTTCGGTAAAGTCACGTAGAAGGAAAATAATAAAATAATAAAAATAAAACATAATAAAATAATTCTCACGACGTTTCGGCCACAACGCACAGCAGCCGTCTTCAGGTGGAGAACAGGTCTGTCGAGAACAGGTCTGTCATTCAGACTCTGCCTTCTCGACAGACCTGTTCTCCACCTGAAGACGGCTGCTTGCGTTGTGGCCGAAACGTCGTGAGAATTATTTTATTAGGTTTTATTTTTATTATTTTATTATTTTCTTTCTACGTGACTTTACCGAAAGAACCAAGAAGATAAAAAAACCAGTCGAACTTAATATATTGTCCCTTCCTCATGCCAATTTATATCCCAAGTTGCTCCTCGCAATCCACTGTCAAAGCAATTAAGGTAGTGCCATGGTTATAATTACTGGAATTACTCCAGGTGAATAATATCACCCACTTGCACGCCCTGTTGTGTAACGTGTATGAGACGATAGGCTTTGGCTTCTCAAACTGCTAACCACACTGACTCAGTACACAGCATGTGGCAATTCAAATGTATGCTCTATCCCAGGGTACTTGAACTTTATTTTCCAGAGGACCACACAATCAAATGTTTTATGTGCTTTGGAGGGGCTACTCGACATCACAGTGCGCGTATACAAATGTTACGACAACATCATGTGATGATGTTATAATAACCTGTAGCCACTAATTTATGCTACTTTTCTCCAGGTCTTCTCCCCTCTCTTGTTCATCTCACTTTCATCCCACCGATATTTGTCTCTTGTCAGCAGATCTCTCATCTGTATCTCATGTTGATCTGTCTTTTATCTCACTAAATCTGTATGTCTTTATGTCAAGGCGAGCCGTGTGTAATATATATCCCCGCAAGCCACCCCAAGAGTCAGTTGAAAAACTCGGCCATAAAAAGTTAACAGTGTAGCTAGAATCCCTACAATTGTTACCGCTAACCTGGCGGAATCATTTCCACGAGTGGGATCTGCTAAGAGAGTTTGGTTTAGAGTGTTTTAAATCCAGTTTCCCTCTTTATTTTCAGTGGTCACGTGGATTTTTCTTCGGGGTCCTCCGGTTTCCCCCCCCACATTTAGAATGAACGTGCATTTTGATTATTTGGCTGCTATAAATTTCCACATAACCACTTCGTTGAGCTCTCGTTTTATAGCCAGGCCGCTTCTGAAAAAGAACTGCATAGCTCAGTGGGTCTTCTCTTGTAAAATAAAAAGATGTAAATAGGTTTTTTTTTTATGACCTCTATTCATATTTACGATTCAAGTGCAGTTTTCCGGTTTGGGCGAAGCGTTGAGCATTTCCTCTCTCAATCCTTTAACTCGTGACAACAATGCCCGCAGTAGTGCGCAGTGAAAGTTTCACTTCCTAAAGAGACGGAAGCTTGTGTTGCCTCCGAAACGTCGTGATTTTTATTTTTATTAATTTTAATTTCATTTTTTACCTACGTGACTTTACCGAAAGAACTAAGAGTATGAGATGTCAGCAGTAGAGCATGGCAAAGGCTCGAGAGAGGAAACGCTCAACGCGTGGCCCATCCCGGAAAAATCGCACCCGCATTCACGACGGCCACGAAAACTCATACGTCAAATGCACTTGTGGTCGACCATTGGTCTTACCGGACGTTTATGTGCTGTGCTCAAGCGTGCCGCAGGGACCGCAGGGGTGGCGGCGGAGCGCTGAGAGGACCGGCCGGCGCCGCTGTGCGCAACCCCACGCAGAACCCTCCCAACCACAAGCGCAGCTGCAGCGAGACAGACAGCGTGACCGGGCGGCCTAGCCCGGCGTCGGCCGCCGCCTCACCGGAGGCCCCCGAGTGCAAGCGCAATCCGGTGGAGCCCCCGGCGGTCAACCAGATGCTCACTTCCTTGATGGAGGCGGAGCCGCCCGAGGTGTTGTCTTTGCAGGAGTCCAAGCAGCCATTCTCCGAGGCCTCGCTCATGAATGTGCTCACCAACCTGGCCGACCGAGAGCTCGTGCACATGATCGCCTGGGCCAAAAAGATCCCGGGTAAGCTGCGCGATGGACGGGCGCGATCGGCGGTCGCGGATGCTTGAATACTATTAATTGGATTGATCGTAAAGTGGTCGGGTTTGATTGATGACCCAGAAGTGAAGTCGCTTAAGTCACCAAGCGGTGTTGCTTGCCTGCTTGTCACCGCTCTTTGATGCTGGTTACTGTTCCCGTGAAATTCACTCACTCATTGATTTCTACACCCATGTTGGGGACTTGGTCTATCAGACACAGCCTCGTATCTGTACTGTGTTCAACCACCATCCTGCAGGTCAAAACACTTCTCTTTATACTCGACTTTGGACTTCCTTTCCCTCGTCTCTTTCCCAAACTTGCGCTTTCAAAGAAATGTATTTAGTCCTTGAGCGTCTAGGCCTGTGCCCAACAACCATGATTTATATTTTTAAAAATGCACTTATTGAGTATATGTACATTTGCGTCACCACAAAGCCAGAGTTTTGCCGTCTGCTTTTGTTCAGACGTGTCTGCGTTCCACTAAGGTTTTTCCATGCCGAGGATGTTTGAATCTTCTGCCAGTTGAAGTGCCATATTGCTCTTGATGATTCCATCTGTTTCTTAGCGATTGTCGGATGTTTAGTGGTGACTTTGAACGTTGAACGTGGTTTGAATTACTTTATTTTAAAGATTGGTTGTTTAAAATGTATCTTTTGCCCCAAGAGAGCAGTTGAAAAGATTTTCCTGCTTTATTGCCGTATTAAGAAGATTTACCATATGGCACCCACACTTTTCTTTTGTAGATCTGAAAAATTAATTAAAACGATTATCACGACTTTAGTGCGTCCAATTAAAGTGCTGACTTTAACGTGCATCACGGTCAGAGAATACTTAATTCTGTTCTCTACTTATCGCAGGTTAATCTCGACGGTGTATTGATTGCTCATTCGTCTCTTGTCATTTATCACAATCACGGCAGCACCTCTAAGTTAGCCCCATGAGACTTCTCAATGTCGTGCAGGGCTTATTGTCTCACTGAATATTTCCTGGCTCGTTGGTAGACTGCGGATTAGGCGGCACGTGACTAATGGGGTATCCACAGCCATCGTGAGATGGGCACTGGATGTATATCTCGGGCGGGGAAAAGTTTTCTGAGTCATCGACACTTACAAACCTGGCTGACATTTAAGCCCCAGTGTATGTGTAACTAGGGAGGTAGTGGCCGACTATCTGGCTCCGTTTTTGTAGCACACCTTAAAAGCAAAACTGTGGCTCGACCTGTACCGAGCTTAGGTGACAAGCCCTTTAAGCCGAGATGAGGTTTTTTTTTTAATCCCGTCTTACATATTGTTCATCCACTGCTGGATAAAAGCCATTGCATGCAGGCAGTGAGGGTTATTTGACCAAACATCACCACTCCGGTCAGTGCAGGTTTGTGAAGGTGGAGGGAATACAGCACAATCGATTGTGCTGCACTACCCTCTACCACCCCCATCGCATTCAACTCCACTCTTTTGTGCTTGGTGGTCCCCCATTCCGTGCATTAGCCAGGCTGAAACTCCGCTTAGCTTCCACGGTCTGATGGGATCTGGCACATCCTGATTGATATGGTCTTAAGTTTTTGAAACTGACCTTTTTGACATTTGTATTGATAAAACGTGATTTTGCGGAAATGGAAAATGTTTAAGTAAGTTATGGTTATTATCACTTCATGTTACGCAAAACCACCTCCAGAGGCGATCGTGTGCAGTGAACGCAGTTCCATGCTGCACACACACTGCACACCACCTCCAGATGGGATGGCATGTCGTGAACACAGATCCATCTTCACGCCTATTGATTCTCGTCCACCAACTCCTGACGTTGGTGGACATGGGAATGATGTTGTGTCCCGAATGCAGGACATGATTCTTTGGAGAACAACTGTTTTTTAGATATAGGCTTGCTGCGATATTATTTCACATGTTGCATTGCGAGACGAACTGACCATTATCGCGATGTCACTTTCCCACAACTTGTTACTTGTGCTGGAAAAAAATGTTGCGTGTTGAATTGCTTTTGTGCTTTTTTGGACTTCCATTACAAAGGAAAGCATGGTGTAGGTATATTAATAATCTAGAATTTACAATCTATAGTGCATGCTGTAAGTTATGCAAGAAATAATGAATTCAATGGTACTGAAATAGTTATGAAATAATAAGTGAGCCATTATAACCACAATACATAAATATGTAGATTATTAGGCAATATAATTATTGTGGATCCTATATAGTATACTGAAGTATTGCCATATATTAGCAGCCATAGTTGGATTTTCATCTAAATTGACAAAATTACCTGAATCTCCATCTTAACAATGGTTATGCTGTCATTCACATCAAGTTTTAAGTAGGTGGTTGCTCCTTCAGTAATATGCAAAATAATACAAGATAAAAACTTGTAATTCTCGCCAAGAAAGGAAATCAATTACAAATAAGGACAACATTATATAGGCGGTTGAAAAGATCCACGTATTTTGCACGTGTTTCTTAAATCACAGAAACAATTATTAAGCTTAACCTACAACATTTAAAGTACTTTTCCTCATGTGGTATGATCTGTCCATTGCTAGACAAAGTCCTCCCCATTGATAAACAGCCGGAGGAACAGAGTGTGGCTTAGAGAACAAAAACTACTTGGAGACATCATGTTGCCTGCTAAGAAAGTAAGTGGATGGTGTTAAGGACACATCACTGTAGAAGGGGATGAGATGATCAACGAAAGATTTTTTTTGTAGAAGCCTGCAAAACTATTCGGAGAAAATACAACTCAGCCGTGATTCAAGATGCCATGGAAAGCAATGGGAGCATGAAATTATATTAAAATAAGGAGCCTAATGCTTGACCGATCACAAATGGTCAACCCTATACAGAATAATGGAGACTATATCGCACTGCAGAAGATAGAAATGTACAATCGGTGGAGGTATTTGATGGCGAGCTATAATGTTGCCGTGATTTACTTTGATGAGAGCATTTCTCCTTGTCTGCCACGAATTATTGTATTTTTATTTCTTGTTACTTCGTATAACCTTGAGTGTGGCTGTTTAATATTTCGTAAAACAATTTACTTCCAATATATTTTGGTTAGGCCTTGGTTTGTTAGTTTTGGTGACCGTGCCAAGTTACATCGAGGCCAATTGATTTTCTCATTTAGAGTCAACGGAGGAAATGTTGTGCAGATTTAAAAGCAAAAACCATGAATTGTGTAACCCAGAAATCAGACCCCCTCTGAGATGGAGAGAGAGTTTCACATGTCACAGGGTTAAATGAAGAGGTAACCACTGCCTTTCAAGGTTTGGCAAAAAGGAATCTAATATTTAATCTTGACTTAAAGCTTTCGTGACTGCAGGAATTCATATTATTTGGGTCTTTCGGTAAAAAAAATTACAAAAACTATTGAAACGTTGTCGTTTTTTGTTATTTTCTTTGAAACATCTACGTGACTTTACCGAAAGACCCAAAGAATATGGAATCTATAATTGCGTGGACTTCAGCAGAGAAATGGGAAAATTTGAATGTAACAACATTAGCGGACTTGTTCACGAAATGTTTACTCAGAAATGAATTACTAAATTGTGGAATGTAGCCTAGGTCATTTTCCTCTTTCAACAAATAACTTCTCATTATGCAGTAGATTTAGGTCATGTGCTGTGTCTGTCAATATTTGATAACGTGGAAATGACATTTTGGGTTGAGATTAATTGTTAATTTCCTTAATGGCTCAAACAAACTCAGCCTGTTGCGGAAACACACATACGACCCTGGGTGATTCTAATAAGCATAACGTCTGTCAGGGGCTCAGTTAATGAAGCACTTGAGTGTGCCTACAACCTCCTATTTGTATAATTTAAACATTTCTACAAAATTAGGGTCTAATTTAGTCATTGCCACCTTGGAACTCTGACAATGAATTTTGCTCATAGGAGGTGGATAGACGTCAACAGGGGAAACTTTAAACAAATTTTCAGTGGAATCTACATGTACGAGTTATCTAATTGGAACGGTAGGAAATATTGGTGTGAATAATTTAGATAACAAGTGTTACGTTTCAGCTTTCAGTTTAGTACGGATAATTGTACAGTGGAATAGAATTGTGACAGGCATGTCAGTAGATGCACTCTTTTTGCAGAGTTGCTATACAGACGGGAGTTTCAGACTTATTAGTTTCAAAATCTAATGGAAACAACCGTCATATTCATGTTACCTCGACAGCTTTATGAATGAAACAAGTTTGTCCTAGGCTTCATTTTGTTTGTATGTTATCATAAATAATCATTTTAAAACAAAGCCATACATAATCTGTTCTGTAGGAAAGTCCATCCAAAATGATCTGACTCTTACCTTTTTGAAAAATATGATAATCTTTTACAAAGTATGCTAAAATAAAAAAAATGTTGTGGATATAATCTCATGTATTTGATACACAATAACTTCACGCTCATCTAAGGTACCCCTCTTAAAATAATGTTAGACGGCGTTGGCAGTGGTGGTAAGCACAAATAACTGAGTTAATGCTTTTGTCAATAAAGCCACCCTAAAGGGAAGCAAATATAGCATAGACAACGTTATTAGCAATGTCCACTTTCACAGTAGAGAGGCATATGTTACAAAGAAGGGCCGTTGCCAAAAATGTCTCCTGTTATATATTATTCCTTTTGTAGAGTTTTTATTATCTCTGTTGTTATCTCTTAAACGCATTGTTAGAAATGATAAGATACAAAAAAAGGATATCTTAGAATACTGTAACTAAAATTACATTACCAGGAGTCTCAAGACTTTCTCAGGATGGTTCTGCCAATTTTCTTTGCGGACAGGGACAATGTTCCTTTGTGTAATTCCATTTTCAGTAATCTGCAGGTAATTATTAAGCATTTGGATGGTTGGCCCCTTAAGATTGTAGTGTTTCTCTGCTATGGGAGTAAACTGGAGATCTCTGAGAAACCCCATGCAGACCAGGGGGAGAACATACAAACTCAACACAGAAAGGGTGCCCGAGTTGGGATGAAACCTTAAGGCCTTATTGCGATAGAGATAACGAACAGGCGCAAATTCGTATCTTTTGTGATAATATAAGACGACGTGATTTTCACAGGGCCACAAGCGTGGATTTGAATGCGAACCGAGAGATGCAAAATTGCTCGATGAGCTGTCACGTGCAGACTTGACTTCCTCGGATGCTGTTTTCACAAGAGGTGTTTTGACGTCGCTCTTTTACGAGGTCCAAATATGTCATGCGGAATAAATAAGTCGGCTTGTTCCTGCGAAGTCTTCATGCCAAGTCGATAGCCCCTAGCAGAGCTAATCTCGTACATATTGTCCAGGTGGACAATGTAAAGTTGGTGGTCAAGGAGCATCCCCGTAGTTGCTTGCTCATGCCACTGCTAATAGAAGGACCTCCACTATATGAAGCTTTAAAGAGCTCTCCTAGAGGCTATTTTCGCCTGCTATCCCACACTGACCAGACGTCTTGAAAGAGGTGGGAGTATTCACACTTTACCCCGCCGTACAGAAGTTATTTTCTGAAAGCGATATATGTTAATGCCCCCTCGTACCATGTTCAATGGTTACTGCCACACGTGAACATCTGGTCACATATCTGCTCCACAAGGTATAGTATTCCATTATTTGTTTCAGTCTGGCCAGGATACCGTTGAGCTTTGAGGCAGTACTTATCTCCCGTTTACAGCCCTGAGCAGTGGTGGAAATCCAACATTCGCATGTCAGGGGCAAGTCTGTCCAAAAGACAAGCCCACTGTTGGCTACCCAACAAAGTACACAATTTATCAGATTTTAACTCGCGGACATTTTGAGTGTGAGCTGCTCGCTCTACCGCTAAGCCACCTGGCCAGGATGAAGGGTGGTCCAAAAAGCTTTGGGCTATTCTACATCTGCGCTGACTAAATATTATTGTCACTTAATATTCCCACTTTTCTCTGAAAATTATGCTCTGATCATGTAACAGTGAATGCATTGATGCCAGGAGTCAGCGTAACTCTTTTGCATATTCATATACGCAAGGGATTTGAACGTTTGTGTATAATTATGATATTTTTCAACCCTATGTGGACATCAGACTATTTGACCTGTTTTGCAGGGTCATGTTGTCTTATTATTGGTAAACATTCACAAAAACTAAATTACATACCCATGAACACTCATGTGATGCATGCGAAGTAGATGATTCGTAACATATTTACATACTCTTTGGGTCTTTCGGTAAAGTCACGTAGATAGAAAAATAATAAAATATCAAGACGTTTCAATCGCAACACAAGCAATCGTCTTCAGGTCAAAAAATACAGCAGGCATGACTTTACCGAAAGACCAAAAGAGTATTAATTCCTGCAGTCCCGAAAGCTTTAAGTCAATATATTTACATGTGCACACGCGCCCACACAATGATTATTTTATTTCATTAACTGCGAACGTTTTTATATTTTAAACGGAAATATATTTCTCTACTTCATATCCCAGTTCTCTTGCGAAGCCACAACTACTTCATTTATGCAAAGAAAACAACAGGCTGATATTTACAAATGTCGCTTTGTATCTAAGTAAACCGTTTTTTCCTACGTTGTGTTTGCCCTTGAAAAGTCACGTCTTTGATTTTAGTTTAGCATTTCCTGTCCGCATTTCGGTTATGAATAATGTCCACGTTATTCTTGTTGTCGTGATCCTCGTACTGCCCCCTCTTTTTCCGTGTTACATAACCGACCCTCCCCCTTCTGTCCCGTCCTCCCCCACCGCACTGCTCAAGAGCCTGTGTTTGTGTTTTATTTCAAATCCTGGCAGGCTTGTTCGCCTGTCTGTACTTGTTTGTGTCGGTGGAAACCATGCATATGTATTTTTTGCTCGCATGCGTGCTTGTGTGTTGTTCATGCTTGTGCAGTTGGGGGGGAGGTGGCAGGGGGGAGGGTCACTGTCTGACTGTCTGGTTGCTTGTGCTTGCTTTCACGTGCAGGCTTCATGGACATCAGCCTGGAGGATCAGGTACAGCTGCTGGAGTCTTGCTGGCTGGAAGTGCTCATGGTGGGACTCATTTGGAGGTCCATGACCCATCCTGGCAAGCTGGTTTTTGCCGCTGACCTGGTGCTCGAGAGGTCAGTCCCTCGCCTTCCCTGACCGTGCCAACCTCAACTCGGTTCAATCCTCCTTTCCTGCCTGCGCATGTCCACATACCCACTCACCCCTCCTCGCCCACCCATGTACTTGTTTCTGTATGAGCAGATTCATTTTCTTGCCTGGACTGTATTTTTAACCGTGTGTATCCACTAGGGGTGCGCAGTTCGGATTTAAAAAATTGCACTAACACTATTCGCGCATTTGCGCGGGATACACGGCCAGGATGGAGGTTGAGCGGTAGGGAGGCGTGACGTCAGCGCGACGCACGAACCCAGTTCAACGCTGTGGGATGCGGTGACATCATGCGCCAGCCAGCAAAACTTTGTGTTTGTAATATAGTACGATACGATCACGTGGCCTGGATTGCCGGATCGCGAGAGATGGCAGTGACTTGGCGTGGCTGTCGGATCATATCGAAAATCAGATTTAGAACAAATCCGTTCTGATTCATAATGTTATTAATAAATTGGTTTGTCAATCCTATCCGGAATGGTTTTAGAAATATATTTTAGTTAAAGTACAGTAGTATAAAAATAGTGGTATTTCATGAATTAATGTGTTTTTTATTCCACTTTGAGTCATACATTTTGAAAAATATATATTAATCTACAAAGAACATGTAAAACATCTCTAAAGAGCATATCCGAAATAACCTCATTGTTATGACAACCAACTTATATAAACTACAGGAAATATTAGAAAAACATCGTTTAAAAAATTTGGCTCAAGATAAATCTGAGCAAAACAAAAGTAATGTACAACACACTCGCTAAAACAATTGAAGACAATCTGTTTTAGGGGCACAACTGGAAAATACATCAGTGTATGTTACCTAGGGCAGTTATTCATGGCGGATCGTGATCCAAATTACGAAATAAAGAGGCCGATGAAAGTGGGTTGGAGCATTTTTGGAAAACTGACCTTCACAATGAAAAACAACATAGCTATGTGCCTAAAGACAACAATGGTGCAGGCAATGTGCTTTGCATACAATAGTCAATAATCTACAACCTTTTATCAATCGACTGCGAGATGGACAAAGGCCTCCCTTGCCTTATTGGCCATGGGGGTTGTTTGTCTGTTTGAATTTCAGTCATCTCTGATGTTAGTCGTGGCTGGGACTGGAACCCAGGGTGCCGGATTGATAGCGGCATGTGCAAGCGACAGTGCCACCACGGTGGCGGATGGTAGTGTAGAGGTTAGCGCGCTGCGCTACGAATGTAATATTTTCTATTGATATGCATAGGTCCACTCAAGGCCAACACCGGCGACTATTTCCTGAACCGGTTCTGGGCCTCTCCTAGGTCGACTCGGCCTCAAATGAGTAACTGGCGCAGTGTGTAAACTTCGGCACTGGAGGCCGGGCATGTTGCTGACCACCCATCCCCCAATTTTGCCGTGACGGCCATTATAGGTGCTCGCTAACAGCACTTGCTCAACAGTCTGTTAAAGGCAATACAGGGATTTTTTTGTCTTTGCCACCATTCTACTTAGGACCTTTGCATATGAATAGAAAATATTACATTGGAAAAAAGTAGAATAAACCAAAATGAAAGCCTAAATGAGATGGGTAAAAAAGAGAATAGGCTTGTGATCTCGATTAGAGATAAATCATTTAATTATGGTGGGGTTTGGGAGGGGGTGGGGTGATTTCCTCCCAGACAATGTTGTGTGATTGAGGGAGAACTACTCTAGCTGCTTGATTCAGCTCCTAAAGAAGCTCCCAGCAATTAGACAAAACGTTGGGCATCATGCCCAACAATACGCGGTACGACCCGCACAAACATCGTAGATGTATACAGCACAACCGCAAAAAAACGAAGCAATAGTGCCCCTAGCCACCACCTTTGATGAGGTTGTTATTGAGACCAGAATTACTGACAAGCCCAAGCCTTACTCTGCCCATCATCTATCAACACGAAAGAGTTCATGATAATCATCTTGAGCCATGATCAGTCAACTTATGGATGAAGGCAGCTACGCGATGTCACCTCTAGCCCTGCGGGCTGTGCCGTTATTATTTGTACCGCTATGGTTCCACATTGGAAAAAAATCAATGTTTTTACATTGTTCATGAAAGTTGTGTTACAAAACAATACTCTTTGGTTCTTTCGGTAAAGTCACGTAGGTATAAAATAAAATAAATTACGACGTTTCGGGCGCAACACAAACGTGACTTTACCGAAATAACCAAAGATTATGGATTCCTGCAGTCACGAAAGCTTCAAATCATTACAAAACAATATTTCAATTAAATAACCTCTTTATTGACTAACAAGTCACTGAGTTTGTATAGTAATGTACTCACAAATCTACAAATGTGCTCATTACATAGCTCAGTTGCTCGGCTCCTTGGGGTAGTTTGAGAGTGCAGCCTGTGGGAGAGGAGAGGCTTTCTAACTATGTTGGGCCGACGTGGAAATGCAAATTTCATTAAATTAATTTGTGGGCATGAGGTGGCGGTGTGGCCGAGGGGGCTAATGCTTTGTTGTGAGCACTGAGCAAGGCACCTCTGAGATTTTGGGTTAATATTTTGGCAGTCACCCGTGATTAAAGGCGGCTTCTTCAATGTATTGAGTTTGTGAACTCATCAGTGTCCATTGACAATGACTGTGCATAAAAAAACAGTCGTATGAAATATAGATTTTGACTTAATTTAGCTTTTTTCAATTCTCAGAATAAAATAAAAATGTTATTGAAATGCAATTTTTTTGATGAACATATAAAAGTTACATCGATAAAGGGGCCTGTCCTTAGAAGCAGTTGCATGACATCATTTTCCCGGGCCATTATTTAACACAGAATGGTGCACTCCCCACTGGGAGATCTGAGTGGTAAAATCATACCTGATCTAACGACGTGACACTGGCAGCCCAATTAGAATCTGAATGTGGTGGGATGATTTAAAAAGAATGTCATTGTTGGTTCAATGGCCTGTCGTCTGTTAATCGACTTGATCACCCATGCTTGCACACACCCACATGCACACCCCAAGGCTTTCCATGCTGCTCAGCCACACCTGACTATACACGCTGACTCGTGCATCGTACATGACTAAACTTGTGGACATGCTTGCATATATACCCGTGTAAGTATATCCACTAAATTACTGTGCAACCAGTCTTTTGCCCAATTTAACTTTTCGATAGATTATCCATCATTTACAAAACCACTTGGTAGCCCATCCAATCTTTTTTGGACAACCAAGCCTGTGTCAACGCTTCAGGTCACATGCCCCACAGTTCCACTTCATTGCTGAAACACGGAGGTATGTTTCACAAGGTGATTTTAGCCCAAGATAATATGGCTACAGAGATATGCATGTTTGTTTTCTAAGCTTTCATCATCATTATCAGCTTTACACTAGTGGATGATGCCCTGCTCATACCGACGCCACCCATCCTGCGATGCCCACAGTCTATCTCGCTCCAGAAAATTAGCTGATTTCTTAACTCTGTTTCCATGTTCTTGAGTACATTCTCTCCACTCTTAAATTACCTCACCAGCCTCGTCAATTTGCCTTCACCCCCCCCTCCATTCTATTGGTATATCCGGCCCAAACTCACCATATTAACCTGGCGATCTATTTCTTGCCTTGGCTCGCAGCAGTGACGAGTGATATCTTAACCGGTCCTGGGCCACCGCTGCCGTTTCACTTGACCGCACTGACCAGCATGGTGAAGTATCGTCAAGCAACTCTCATTATCAGCGTGCCATGAGAACGCCTTCAGCAATTGATTTAGAAGGTTTGTAAATTGTTACGTATACAGATGTATTCCATTTACTTTAATTGAATATTATTTTTTTTTAAAGTTTAATTTTCTCGCCCTCCATTTTGTGGCTTTCTCTTCATCCCTCCCCCCACTGCTACAGCTATTTAAGTCCCCGTACATTATTCATCCAGGCGTCTTTCTGTGTGTGCCTCTGCGTGTGTGTATGTCTCTTGGTGTGGTGTTGCTCTGGTTATCTCTCTGGGCTGCCCAAAAAAAATATCCTTCTCTGTCTATGTACCTCGTGTCTGTTCACGAGTCCTTGCCCTCTGTTTTTACGTTAGCATGTTCAGCCCAGAAGATGAACACAACACATTTAGGAGTCTTTTGAAATACGTGTTCAACCAGGTTAGTGTCTAACTGTTTTGTTGGCCGACTGGTTTGCATCGCATTATGTTTCTAAGGTCTGTTGAGTTTCTCGTCTCCCATCTTCTTGTCGCATTTGCTTACGTGCGGTTTGCCGTTCTTTATGTGCTGTGTGCGTGGTGTCTCCATGTGTGTTCCCTCGCTATATGTTTCACCCCATTCCCACCTGATGATGAGCGCTTGTGTTGCGTTCGAAACGTCGTGATTTTATTTAATTTATTTAAGTTTTATTTTATTTCTACATACGTGACTTTACCGGAAAAAAAACAATGAGTATAATCTGGCTAGGGTTTACCAAAAGCAGAGGATCCTGCCACCATAAAGTAATGGTGAGCACACTGTGCTTGCAAACCAGAAGTGACCGGTTTGATCTCCTGGCATAGCACCTGATGCATGAACGAGTCTTTTTTTAAATCCACCCCCCTGCATTTGTCAACCCAGGCATTATAAATGTGCACACCACAGTTAGTCCATTGGCAGGTCGCGTGTGGTGTGGAGTAAACCGTGGGTCACTCTCACCACGTCTGGCCAGTGTGGAAGAGTAGACCAACATACCCTCCAGATGGGCTGTCTCGAACTCCCTCGCGTGGATGCCGTTCTGCCAGCAGTAGCGTGAGCAAGCAATTGCAGGGGCTGCACCTTTACCTCCAGGCTGTTCTGCTGGTTATATTCATTTTGGCTTTCTCTATTGCCCAGAGGCATGGCTGCATAAAACAGTTTTACATTAGACTTAACTTTTCATTTAATTCACGATTCAATTAATTGTGTAAGAACAGTAAGTATAGAATAGGCGCTATAAACCTCATTGACCCTGTGGCACGTGACTGATAAATACATCGGCA